ATTGTTGTCTTGCTTGTCATCAACTCCACTGTCAGCTTCATTGAAGAAAACAATGCGGGCAATGCTGCAGCAGCACTGATGGCAGGCCTTGCTCCCAAGACGAAGGTAAATTCTGATAACAAAGGTAAAAAGTTATTTAAAAAATAAACTACAATTAGATTCATTGTGAAGTGAATTTTCTGTCTTCTTCTTCAAAAGGTATTGAGAGATGGTAGCTGGAAAGAGATGGATGCAGCAATGCTAGTACCCGGGGATGTGATAAGTATTAAGTTGGGGGATATCATACCAGCAGATGCTCGTCTACTTGATGGTGATCCGCTCAAAATTGATCAATCTGCTCTCACGGGTGAGTCATTACCCGTGACTAAGAACCCAGGCGAAGGAGTATTCTCTGGTTCCACCTGTAAACAAGGTGAAATTGAGGCTGTTGTCATTGCCACTGGAATCAGTACCTTTTTCGGAAAAGCTGCTCACCTTGTTGATAGTACCAATAATGTTGGCCACTTCCAGAAGGTAAAATTTGACATGTTTCTCTGTACTGAATTCTGATCGAAAAGTTGAATTTCACGTTAACAAACCATGTTTTCAGTAAGTTGACCAGCAAAATTTCTTGCACTGATTCTAAAATTATTTCCAAATATTTTTTATATTTGATGATGGTTTGAAAGCATATTAGAATTTAGAACTGTATAAGATTTTCGGCATTTTTTTGTTTTCCAACTGATTTAGTTGATTTTGACAGGTTTTGACAGCAATAGGAAACTTCTGCATATGTTCCATTCTGGTTGGAATTGTCATAGAGATATTGGTGATGTACCCAATTCAGCACAGAAAGTACAGAGATGGAATTGATAATCTGCTTGTTCTTCTCATTGGAGGAATTCCAATAGCTATGCCTACTGTATTATCAGTTACTATGGCAATTGGATCCCACAAGTTGTCGCAACAAGGTGCCATCACCAAGAGGATGACTGCTATAGAAGAGATGGCTGGAATGGATGTACTATGTAGTGACAAGACAGGAACTCTTACATTGAACAAGCTTGAAGTAGACAAAAACTTAGTTGAGGTTGGTGAATTAACACGCCGTTCTAGTATAGTGTTTGAAGCAATAAGCCCAAAAGTGAGCTAACTAGATTGTCTTGTTGGGGAGGGGTGGTACAGGTTTTCGCAAAGGATATTGACCAAGATACAGTTATTCTTCTTGGGGCCAGAGCTTCAAGGGTGGAAAACCAGGATGCTATTGATGCTTGCATTGTAGGAATGTTGGCAGATGCCAAAGAGGTAGTAATTAAAAGTAGTATCAAATTCTAACTTGCTCATAATTGGTTGTGGAACATACTTTCACTTAATTTCACGTGTATTGCGTGCTTTAGGCAAATTTATCCATGCACTTCTGATATGCATTATTAGCAGCTTTGATCATTAGAGAAGTTCATCAACTTACTTGTACCTGAATTTTAGATTTATTTGTGCTCTCTAGGCTAGAGCTGGGATCCAAGAAGTGCACTTCCTGCCTTTCAACCCTGTAGACAAGCGCACAGCTATTACTTACATAGACGCCAATGGCAATTGGCATAGGGTTAGCAAAGGTGCACCTGAACAGGTAAGCTATACTTGACACTTCTCTCTCTGTCTTATAACTGAGTTGGTAAGCTTGAACATTTGATTTATTTTACCAGATCATTGAGATTTGTGGCCTAAGCGAGGATGTAAAGAGGAGAGTTCACTCCGTCATTGACAAGTTTGCTGATCGTGGTCTTCGCTCTCTTGCAGTGGCTCAACAGGTGAAATTTAACAAAGCAAAGTCTTTAGTATTGTCTTTTTTTTTTTTTGTAAATACAGACAGTACCAGAGAGGACAAAGGAAAGTCCAGGAGGGCCTTGGCTCTTTGTAGGACTCTTGCCTCTTTTTGACCCTCCAAGGCATGATAGTGCAGAGACAATTAGGCGCGCTCTTGTCCTTGGCGTCAATGTCAAAATGATAACTGGTGATCAGCTTGCCATCGCCAAGGAGACTGGTCGGAGGCTTGGTATGGGAACAAACATGTATCCTTCTTCTTCCCTCTTGGGGCAGCACAAGGATGAAAATACTGCTAACCTCCCTGTCGATGAGCTCATTGAAATGGCTGATGGCTTTGCTGGTGTCTTTCCAGGTAACTTTCTCCATCCTTTGTTTTCCCCAAATATCTTTTACTGTTAGTAACCTGCCCTCCCTGATTTTAATAACAACTGTGCAGAGCACAAATATGAGATTGTGAAGAAGCTCCAAGAAAGAAAGCACATTTGTGGTATGACTGGAGATGGTGTGAATGATGCCCCTGCTTTGAAAAAAGCAGATATAGGCATAGCTGTAGCTGATGCTACTGATGCTGCCCGTAGTGCATCTGACATAGTTCTCACGGAGCCCGGACTAAGTGTGATAGTGAGTGCTGTATTGACCAGCCGAGCCATATTTCAGAGGATGAAGAATTATACCATTTATGCTGTTTCTATAACCATCCGAATCGTGCTAGGCTTCATGCTCATTGCACTAATATGGAAGTTCGATTTCTCACCTTTCATGGTTCTTATCATTGCCATTCTCAATGACGGAACTATCATGACCATATCTAAAGACAAGGTGAAGCCGTCACCCATGCCTGACTCATGGAAACTGAGAGAAATTTTTGCCACTGGCATAGTTCTTGGCACTTACCTAGCCGTTATGACTGTTATCTTCTTTTGGGCTGCTCACCAGTCAAATTTCTTCAGTGTAAGTAAATTGTGAACATTTCTTCAGTATATAATAGAATTGCTCCCCCATTCTTATTGCTTGACCTTTATCTCATGTTGCTTGTTGATCCACTAGATATTTATTATACCCATCTCATCCTTCAACTTGGCGCTGTATTTGCAGGACAAGTTTGGTGTAAGATCGATTAGAGACAATGTACATGAGCTCAATTCAGCACTATATCTTCAGGTCAGCATCGTCAGTCAGGCACTCATATTTGTAACTAGGTCAAGGAGTTGGTCTTATGTAGAACGTCCTGGTCTCCTTCTGCTAGCTGCTTTTGCTATAGCACAACTGGTAAGTTGATTGGTTAGATTCCAGTTGAGAACACCAATTATCTTATACTTGTAGTTTCCTTCACCTCTAATGATTATTATTTTCAGGTTGCCACCATAATTGCAGTATATGCAAACTGGGGTTTTGCTAGGATTCGTGGTATTGGTTGGGGTTGGGCTGGTGTTATTTGGCTTTACAGTATTATTTTCTACATACCTCTGGATATTTTAAAATTCGCCATCCGATACACTTTGAGTGGCAGGGCCTGGAATAATATGATGGAGAACAAGGTACTTCACATCAACATTCATGTCAAATTATTTATCACCTAACATGTTATGACACTCTCCTGCTATTCACACCGGTGCAGGTTGCTTTCACAAGCAAGAAGGATTATGGTAGGGGAGAAAGAGAGGCACAATGGGCGTTGGCTCAACGCACATTGCATGGACTTCAAGCTCCTGATAGTTCCCAGGTGTTCGACAACAAAAGCTATAAGGAATTGTCTGAAATAGCCGAACAGGCCAAGAGGCGTGCTGAAGTTGCCAGGTACATAGATCATTTTCAATTGCATAGTGTTTGTATTGATTTTCTAAGTTCCAACAGTTTCTTATTCGATTGTTTTGCATTTGTTAATAGGCTAAGAGAGCTTCATACTCTAAAGGGGCATGTGGAATCAGTGGTGAAGCTCAAGGGACTTGACATTGAGACAATTCAGCAACATTACACGGTTTAGCACAGAAGTCAGTGGGGGAAGTTCTACTAGTTGAAATAAAGAGTTAGAAATAAGGATTAGAGAACTGTTTCTAGGTTCCCTCTTTCCCTTCCTTTTGTTGTTGATTTCCTAAGATAGTGATGTTGATATGCGATAGTAGGAATAATATAGCAAAGAAGGTTGGAATGCACAGAGGTCTCGTAAGAGAGCTAGACAGTTTTGCTTTTAGCTTGTAGTTGTATTATTCTACTAGTTTTGACTTTTTAAATGGTTATTTAGTCTGACTTACAAATTGCAGCATTCAAGTTTAGTGTCTTTGTTTTAGCATCCTAAGAATATAATCTATTTTCCTCATCCTTTCAATTTTTTTATTTTTATTTTTTTAAATAAAAACAAACATGGGTGACTTGAACTAGATTTTAACCAGGATTTGAGTAGTAGCTCAGTGGTTGTAAGGTTGCAACTCCATCCTACATTACTTTAAGTGCATGGTTCAAAGAGCAATTTTAACATGAGGATCATCTTGAACTATCCTAGTCTCAATAATGAACGAAAGTCAACGAAGAAACTAAGTAGGCATTTGGACATGAAAATTGTAATTTTTTAAAAATGTAGTATTTGGAGATAAGTTGAAAAATAATTTTTGTAATTTGAAATTATATTTCAACATGCATTTTACTTGAAAAAAGTTTGCTGTACCACTTCTTGGTTTTTGAAAAACACATTTTCGAAAAATTTCTAAAAAATTACAAAATTTCATCGACAACCACATTTAAAAAAAAAATTGAAAAAAATACCTTTGTTTATGGACAAAAAAGGCCTAAGATGGTTCCTTTTCTAAGTGATTGCTCATAACTGATCAAATATCGATAATGAAAGAGAGTTTCTGTCAAAAAGTTGAAGTGCACAATATAATTGGCAGCTAAATTATGACACTATCTTTATACATCAAATGCACTTAAGTTACTTAACTTAAGATTATTTCTTGATTTGAGCAATTGCATCAATGAAGTAAATTTTGCAATGGACAAGCTTACAGTAAACTAAGTCTGTTTAAACCCCCACCCCCCACCCCC